TGTTAATGCAGATCAAATGGGAAACACTCGAGTCAGAGCTCTTGCCCGGCTCTCCAGTCTCAATCGTTAATTCTTATTGTAAGATCTAAAGGTAATTTTGTTTGCTCTCTTAATGCGATGCAATTCTCCCAGGGGCCCTTGCATAGCCTTTCTCAAATTCCCATCTTGATCAATTGTTTGCAAATAATTAAGCTTTTAAGAGATAATGGCAGGAGGCTAATGTACACAACAAAGGCTGGGTCTCCAGTCACTGTCTGTTGGACTCTGGTCAGATTCGCTTTGATATCCCAAAGTGGCGAGGTGTGTTGGCGAAGCAGGCGTGTGCACTCATCCTCCTTCACAAACACCTGACCGCTCTTTCCTAAACGCGGATCCTTGCCTTTTAGACACTACAACAGCAGAGTTGTCTAGGAAAATAGCAAGGGGTGACTCGGGGCCTACAGTCCATTGGTTTGGGAGGAATTTCCCATTTTCTTCCTAAAATGACACTTTTCAGGGGTCGTTATTTAGCCCCTTACAAAATGACGGGCTGCTTCCGCCTGTGACGCCCTCACTGGCCCTGTGGGCAGAACGCAATAGCGCCTTGGATGTTTTTATAGCTGCTTTGCCTATGGCCTGTTGAGTTTTGTCAAGTCTACTTTAAAAAAAAAAAAAAACCTACAGAGGCATAATTCATGCTGTTCACAAACAGCTTATCTAGTAAAGATGCTTAGGATTTGAGATATCTAAACATACTCTATTTCTGTTTAAAAGCCCATTTCTTTGTGAATTTTTGCATGGCTGTGAGTCACAGGTGACTTGATGGCATATAACAACAACAACAACGTGGGTTAGATACAGGAAGTCAGGGTTTTCTTGTGATTCCTACAGTTACAGGCTGCTTAGGGAATTGAAAGTTGTGGGACACCAAGACCAAGACCTACGAGAAAATGGAAAAGCACTCATTTGACTTAGCGTGGAGGAGGCCTGAGGAATTCTGTTCACGATACCTTATTTCTTTTTCCTTTCTAACAAAGGCCAGATTATTGTAACCCTTAATTTTGTCCAAGCTCATTCATTCCTAATGTGTGTGTGTGTGTGTGTGTGTGTGTGTGTGTGTGTGTGTGTGTGATCTCGAACAACTGAAAATTGTTTAATGGAGACAGAGTGCTGGATTTCTTTAGCTTGAGGCTGCCTGGCAATTATGCTGCATGAAATTAGACACAGTTTGTTCCAATTACTTAAAATCATATCACATGAAAAGTGACAGAGGGGTAAAAAAAGGTCAAACTTTCTTATTTTATGATATTTAAATTATGAAATCAGAAACTACACAATGTGAACATGCAACATAAATTCACACTGAAATTTTGAGGGCTGTGTTGTTGCTCTTTGAAGCTATAATGACTCAGGTAATCTTAATGATCCAAAGAGAATTTTCCTGACACCTCTTGCATAAATAAAATAAGAATCCCACTTGCTTTGTAAGAATGTATATAAAATTTGCTCACAAACAGGCATGTGAAAATACTTTTGAAAACGCAGCACAAATAAATCACTGTGACAATCTTCAATTTCCAAAGTAAAGATAAATGGCATAAATATTAATTTTTATCTAGTTCCAGTCCTAACATTAAGAAACAACTAACAAGACAAGGCAGAAAGTATTACCATCCAACTGTATTACGCTGAGGCGGAAATGGGGACATAGATATTAATTTTGTTGAAAATCACTCAGCAGAACCTGAGAAAGTGTAGGAAAGATAATGTTATAGAGATTGTTATAGATAGTGTACTGCCTGTACGTATCAGGCTATCATTTTATATGGCAACTAGTGTCAATGGCTAGATGCTATGATTTGCATTCTTCAAAATTGAGTGTAGTTGGATGAGAATGTCAGAGGGTAGCTCTGATGGCATCATCCACAATGAGTTGAGCTACTTATCCCCGAAAGGCTACACTTCTCTGGCAGTTCAAGTCCACCAGGTGCTCCTTGGGAAAAAGATGGACAGTCTTCTCCCGTGTGGTTTACGGCATCAGAAACCCAATGGAGAGACAGCTGGATGAGTTGGTTTCTGACTCCACAATAGTGAGAAGGCTCTAAGAAATGCTAGCTGGGATTATCTTTAACCTCTGGGATCTTAGGACTTAGGTGGCAAAAAAAGTTAAGTTTGTCCATGTGTCCAAACTCACATAGTAAGCACTAGCATCAGGGATACAATAGAAGGTCATGTATACCCGCATATGATTTTTAAACTAGTGCTGATAGGGAACTATGCTGGACTAAACTGTAATTCAATATTCTGTTTGTAGAATAAAAGGATTACTTTGGTTTGCATTGTGTGGCTAACCTTTATAGAGACGGGAACTGTATTTTAAACCTTAGGGTTGTGGATTGGATCTAGTTGTTTTAGTTGCTGTGACTGGCATTACCTTGAGCAGATTGATTGTCATCTGATTTTACCTTATCAGATCTGTAGACTTTATAAAAGGTCCTTTTAGAAGGAGAGTAGTATAGTAGGTCTCAAGTTGGATTGTCTGTATTTCCTAAGAATCGGTTGTGACTCAATGCTAATGAGTGAGAAAGAGAGACTTTCTGTGGGGTTTGTGAGTTCTGTACTATAGGTTTTGATGTTGCATCTGTGTGGAGAATGCCTGTGAATGATGGCAAGTAACAGTCACTCATTCATTGACAAAGTCTGGGTTGTGAGGTTGGTGAGCAAGGTGGGTTGTACAGAGGGTTAATCCCTCTGTTGTCACCTCATAGTTTGAGTCTATCCAGAGACATTTCAGAAGAAAGGAGATCTATTTTTGAAAAGTCAGTCCCTATAAATTCTCTGGAACCCAGTTCTCTGACACACAGGAGTTGCCCTGAGTGAGCCACCCAACAATAATGGACTTTTTGGGTTAACTGGTCAGGATGGCACACATCAACAAGGAAAAGAATAATTTACACAGATGCGTCAGGAAGCCATGGTGGCTGTGGAGGAAGTGAGACAAAAGTTGGTGGGCGAATGATAAGATGGATTGGTGGTGAACAAGCTGAATAGAATTTTATATTTGAGTTGAGACATGAAGTGACAATGGAGAAATCGTATTAATGATAAACTTGGGACACTGGAAGGAGAGAAGAGACATAGGGTAAGAAAGAAGAGAGAGGGAGTTTGGAGCACTAGATAGAGAAGCTGAGCATAGGGTGAGAAGAGGAGATAGAATTTAGACAGGATTTCCTGGTTGAGAAACAATATACTTTGGGTAAGTTGCTGGGAGAAGCTATTCCTTGAAAAAGGGCCATTGTGCTTGCAAAGGTGGAGGGTCAGCAAAAGAGAGGAAGACCCTTAACGAGATGAATTGACACAGTAACTACAGCAGTGGGTTCAAGTGTGTCAGAGATGATGAGGATGGCACGGGTCAGGGCAAAGTTCAAATGTGTTGTTTATAGGTTTGCTATGAGTTGCACTTGACTGAACGGCTCCTAACACATCAACCACACCTGGTCAGGAAGAGGTTGTGAGCTATGGTGAACAGTCTGGAGTTTTTCAAGCAAGGGACATCGGTGGGATTTATGAAAGATGTTCCCAACCTCTTTTCTGTCAGAGAGGCTTTAACACTTGAAATGGACACAGAAAATACTGCTGACCATTCCTTTTCCTGGCCGGCTTCCTCACCTGTACAACAGGAGGGACAATAGATTGACCCCATGCCCCTCAAAGGGATATAATAGGGATTAATTATTATGCTGTTTGTAATAGAGTTGGAGCTCTTTAGAGAAAGGCACTATATTCCATGAAAGTAAAGCTTTACTCTAATTGTGTATTTATTGATTAAATGACAAGCCAAGAAAATGCTTATGGGGAAAATTGCTATATTTCTACTCTCCACAAACGAATCCCATGGGCACAGATATGGAACATATTTAAACTTACATATACGAGCACTGAAGTGGTCATTAACAAGCCTTTTTAGCATCTAATCAAACATTATTAATGAGATTAAAAGCTATGTTAATTAGCTTTCAATAGACCAGAATTTCATTTTAATAGCACAGATAGTTAAACTGAGAATTGGGGGTGCCCTTTACCATTTATTAACAGGACAGGGGGGTGACTATCAGGACAGCTTGATCTTGGGAGAATGGACTGGAATATTTTGTTTGAAGTTAGCCAGTGTCTCCATAGATGCAAATAATGTCCACAGTTCTTTCCTCAGGTTTTAGAAATGTTAAAACTTCAAATTTAGATGGAATTGACAAGAAATGTGCCAAAATCAATGACAGCAGAATTTACACTTCCTTCCAGGGAGACTTGAATTTCATTTTCTTATCTTATCCTGCAATACACTTGATCCACGGGAACGCAGGAGGAGCAGGGCTGGCTTTAGTCTTGGCATGCAAAGTATGCTGGGCTTTGACCTTATATTGGCCTGTGTTCAAAATCCCAAAACATGCTGCCATTCGGATATGGACACCAACCTTGGGTGAATTTTTGTTTGTACTTCAAAGGAGAAATGAAGGAATAGGGAGGTTTGGGGTTTTGTTTTAAAGCCAGCTGTTCTCCATTCTGATACCTTCACCGGGCAGTGTGGTATTTGGGAAGGGAGAGTGTCACACTGGCAAGGTTCTCAGCTACTTAGAGACCTCATGAGATTGTTGGTTTAAATAATTTCACCCTGTTCTCATCTGAGAAAACAAAAGGGTTGCCCCTCTCTTTAAAAAAACTTCCTTTAAAGTACAATGATGCTCGTACTACATTTTCTGTTTGCAACAAATAAACCTGTTAAAGGATAAACTCAGTGTCAAGATTCTGCAAGTATCCTAAGTAGCTATTTATACACTTCACTAATCTTTGTAATTGGCTTGTCTTTTACTGCCATTAATTAGATGATGTAGTATTCCATTAATAAGAGTGACACACCTCAGCATTTTTGCTTTTAATTATAGACTTCACTAGACACTTAGGTTATTGACAGAGTGGCCTGAATGTTGTCTGTTGTGTACATACCTTTTTTTGTTCTCTTTCAGCATCCTTACCCTTCTGAAGAACAGAAAAAGCAGTTGGCACAAGACACGGGACTCACCATCCTTCAAGTGAACAATTGGTAAGTAATTGGACTTTGTGTTTACCCACAATCTGTTTTCCCCTCTGGCAACCTGCAGCATTAGGAGGACACATCGGTCGGTTCGTCGCTGCTTTCCTTGGTGACTTGTTGGTTCAGAGAGAACACAAAATGTTGACTGATAGATGAGACATGTAAAGAAAACATTGATTTTCCACTAAATTTTATTCACAGTCTAAGTCAGTCTGTCGGAGTCTACCTATAATTGACCCTCCAGTGGGTTTTCAGAGGCTGTAAGTCACCTAGGAGGAGATTGCCCCTCTTTTTTCCACATAGCAGAAGTATATGGGAGTGCGCTTCCCAAAAGATTGTGTTGGTAGGTGCTGTTGAGTTGAGTACGACTCGTAGTGACCCGGTAAAGAACAGATCTGAACCCTGTCCTGTTCTGTGCCACCCTCATCATCTCTGACCACTCGATCCCATTGCAGCTGTCGCTGGGTCAACCCATCTGGTTGAGAGTCTTCCTCTCTTTCACCGACCCTCCACCTTTCCAAGCATGATGTCCCTCTCTAGGAATACCCTCTCCTGGCGACATGCCTTACCATCTTTGCCTCCAAGAAGCACTCTGGCTGCACCTGCTTTCTCTAAGGCGTGTCAGTTTTCCTGGCAGTCCATGGTGTGTTCAGTACTCTTCTCCAGCTCCACAACTCAAGGCATCAATTCTTCTTTTCATTCATTCATTCATTCATTCATCCTAAAATATTGCAGCCTTGAGAATCCGGGGAGCTTCTTCTCTGTACATTAGTTATGAGTCAGAAGCAACTCTGTGGCAATAGGCTTTATTTCATTTCAGTCGGTACGTGTGTCTTCATAGGGCCCTGGTGACACAGTGATTTAAGTAAGTGCTTTGGCTGCACTTAATAGAAATATTGACTGTTCTAAACCCCTGCTGCTCCTTGGGAGAAAGATACAGCAATCTACTCCTGTGAAGATCAAGGTCTATAAACCAGTGGGGCGGTTCTGCTCTGTCATTGAGGAAGCCTTTAGTCCAATTCCGCCTCGTGGCAATGGGTTTGTTGTTTTCTTTTCTTGTTCTTTTGCACCATCAAGTAGGAACTGACTCATAACTCACTCCCAGGGTTTTAAACATGGGAGGAAATTGCCCATCTTTCCACCCTGGAGCAGCTGGTAGAATCGAAGAGCCTGTCTTTGGGTTGGCAGTGCAGCTCCCTACGAGAGTAGGTGCTTAATTCGAATGCACTCTAGTAATGTAAAGGCAGCTCCGGTGGAGCAGTCTGTCGGGAGTTTCACTACTAAGCCCCAAAACCTGTCTGTTCAAATCCACCAGTGGCTCTGCAGGAGGAAGATGGGTGGTTTGCCCCTTCCCAATTTGGAAACCCCACAGAAGGTCAGGTGGGAGCAGGTTCTGACTCAAAGGTGCTGAGTTTTCAGTTTTGGCTTTTTTAAAGCCATGGCTGTGTGAATGTGTCCTCTTTATGACTTTTCTTCCCGCATCAGGATAATGGATACACAGAATGGTGGTGGTGGTTGTTGATTGCTGTCGAGTCTGTGAACAAAAGGCCTGAAGCCTTTCTATAACTATCATCATTTATCAACGTTCATAGAGTTTCCAGAGGCATGTTGTTTAGGAAGTGGACGCCATATACTATTTTCTATAAAATAAGAAAGTCCACCATCCCATGTCTACCAGGTTTTATAGTCACTGAATAATTAAGTTCAGCTGGATTTTGCCATGGATTTTGCCAGGGTCATGCATTCAAGGATGGTGTCTCCTTTAACTATCAGTATATTAAAAGGGAGAAAGTATTTATGCTTCCACTTCGAAGTTATTCAAACTTGCTATGTCTCAGGACTGTGTAATACTGCTTCTAAATAAGTAAGGAAATTCCGGAGTGGGGGCAAGCTGTGAGTAAGTACCAAGCTGCAGTCAACAGCGTTCTGACTTACTGTACAATGATGTGGCAACAAGGCTTGGAAGAAAGTATGATTTACGACCCTTTGGGAGTGTGTCCAAAGCCAGGTTTCGTGTAATCACCCAGGGCTAGTGTCATATTTGAAGGGTATGGAAATCCAATATCCTCTAAACCTAAGTGTATCTAATTAATTGTCCTAATATTTTTAGATTAGTGTTTATGATGAGGAAACCTTATCCTCTTTGAAGTAAAATCCAGACAAGGTCTAAAGCCTGGTTGGGGAAAGGGGAGAGTGGGAGAAGCCATTTTGCCGGCAGAAGTACTCATGTCTGCTCTGTAAGTGTCAAAGATTAATATTACAGAATCTCTGATTACACAGCCTAATCCATTTTGGTGAATAAATTTGTTCTTGATGTCCATTGCACCTACATTAACAGACCCTTCTCTGTTAGAGAGCCTGGGCGCCTTTGGGAGAGATTTCAGATCTATTAAACCCTATTACAGAAAATGTAATTTCTGTCAATATAATCCCATGTATTCTTCAATTTACTATTTTAGAGATAACAAGCTACTTACAATATATTTGCCTTTGGAGGATTAATTTACAAAGTGGACTATCTGCAAGACGCAGGCAGACTCACATAACCATTGCTTGTAAGGGTTATCAATTTCTGCGACCTTACTGCAGCCTTGGGAGATCAATTTTTTTCAGCAGCCCTTTTAGTCAGTGGCTGGAGAACCAAGGAAAGGCTTATTATGTCTGTGTGTGTTACCAGAAGCCAGACTGCTGTGATGGTTTTGTTTTCACCTGTGTTGTATCTTCATTTTCAAGGTAGTGGATACCACATGTTTGAACACAATCTAGATAATATTATAGACGGGAATCAATTTGGACGCACATAGGAATTCAGAGTCGTTGTGAGGTTTATTCTGATGGTGAGGTAATTGTGAAACAATGGAGTAGTGATGCAAATGCTGCATTTCCCTGAGAAATGGCCCCATCTGAGGGAAGGGCGAGCTCTCTCCTTAAGGGAGGCAGAGACAGCGGGGCCATCCAGGTGATGTATCACACATACCATCTCGCTTCCTCCTTGCTGTTGCTAGCAAACTCTGTCCATAAACATGGTTACCGAAGAGCACATCCCAGTAGGAGTTTCTTTCTATGGGTGGACAACCTCAAGGGAGGTTTCCTGTGAAAGGAGACAGAAGGAAGACTGTCCTGTGACACCCTAAAATGTACATTGTTGTTAGTGCAAAATCTATTTGAGATATATAGAATTGTTTGTGCAAAATCTAGGGAGGATACATGAACTTGTTCATGCAAAATCTATGGCTATAAGGACTGTTTTTAGTTATCATGATCCCATTTTAGTTTGTAGTCTTGTAGATCTTTTTAAAAAATCATTCTCATAGCATATTACAATAAAAGCTTCTCAAAGTATGTGGAGACATTGCCTTAAATAACATTCTAATAGTCAATTAGGTATGTTAACTTAGAAACAACTTTTACATGATTTGGGATAGAAACCCAATTTTATTTTTTGGCTCTCACCTTGTATCGTATGTGGTTGTATTCTCTCTGCTTCTCTGTGGAGATAGAAGTGAGTTAACTGGCACTTAATTGTTTTGCGTTTGAATATGGTTTCAACTTTAACAACTTTGTGGTTGACAATTTCCCTGAAATAACCAGAAGTTACAGTAGAGGTGGGTTTTTATTAATGTCGATTGAAAATTAGCATTCCTATGTTTGGCTTACAGGGGTTTTTTTTGTTGTTGGGGTTTTTTTGTTTACATTTTTAAAGAAGGTTTGTTCTCATCTAGACTTTGTACTTTTTTGTTTTATTTAATTTTTTAATTGATATTTTAATAAAAGTTTATAGAGAACTTGGATTTCCATTCTTTCTTTGTTGCACATTTTCCTCCATGCTCACACCCTTCCCAGTTCGCTTTGCTCTTTGAAAAAAAAAAACAAAATTATTTTATTGTTCTACAATTCTCCCCTCCCCCCATCCGTCCACTTTACTATGCAGCTCTTATTCTGGACTATTATCATGCAAATAATACCTATAATCATATATTCCTTTTAAGCAGTCCTGTTCCTCATCTGTTCCAATGCCTTGTATATTTATTTCCTCTTTTCTTAGTTTTCCCCGAACCCCCATGTCAGTCATGTTTTATAATAGTGGCTTATGCAATATTTGTCCTTTTGTGACTGAGATACTTCACTCAGCATAATGTCCTCCAGGGTCCCCAATTTTGTATAATATTTCATGAGGTTTTTGTTTTTAACTGCTGCATAGTATCCCATTGTGTGAATATACCATAGCTTTTCTATCCATTTGTTTGTTGATGGAGACTTGGGTTATTTCCATCTCTTTGCTATTGCAAATAACGCAGAAATAAACATGGATGTGCATATATCTGTTTGGGTGGCAGTTCTGTTTTCTTTAGGGTATATTTCCAGTAGTAGAATTGCTGGATCAAAACTTTTTTTTTTAAATTTTATGCTAGTTTATTTACAAAATTCTAATCCATTATTTTCAAGAACAAATTCTTTCAATTTCCCTCACCCATCAAATTGTACAACACAATGACTAATCCCCCTTCCCCTGCACACGTCCTCATCCCTCTGCTTCTAACCTCTCTTACCCCTCCTGGATCCTTATACTTACTCTACAATAATGGTTTTATACAATACTTATCCTTGTGGGACCGAGCTAGTTAACTCAGCATAATGCTCTCCAGTCCCTCCCAAGTTAGGTAACAATTTACAAAATCATTGCTCCTGCGTGCTGCTTAGTATTCCATTGTGTAGATGCACCATAATATCTCAATCCATTTGTTTGTGGTTGGACATTTGGGCTGTTTTCCTGTTCTTGTGATGATCAACAGTACTGCTGTTGGTGTACAAATCTCAGTTTGTGCCTCAGTTCTCATATTCTCAGGGTTTATTCCAAGTAGTGGAATAGCTGGGTCATAGGGAATTTCTATGTTCAGAACACTGTGACACTGATGTGTCAAATGCGTTAACGGTTGGTTACCCAATGTGGACAGAGTGGCATGGATCTCCCCGATTAAAACAAGCTTGGAAGCAATAGTGGCATCCAC